ACACCTCTTTTTTTTTCCTGAAATGCTAAAAACTAATAGTAAATGGATAATAAAGATATAAACCTATGTGGCTACAGAAAAATGAAGAGAAGACAAAAGATAACACATATTACAAAATTTTAGAAACATGGAGAGCAGATGTATGAGTTGAAGCTCAATTGGCCAACTACAAAAATAAAAAATGAAATATTTTCTAGCTATGATGAAGGAGAAGGTAAGTTGAAACATGCCAGAGAACTCCTGAAAGGCTCAGGGCAGGTAGGAATGCAGTACAGAGGCAAGCACAGTTTGGTGAAAGTCTGCAGAGCAGTAAAAAAACAAGATGCCCTCCTGCATCTGTCCCATCTGGGAGTGAAGACTGGGTGTTTTTCCTCCCTCCCAGGGAGGGGTTGGAAATGAATCATTCTGGGATTTGAGAGCAACAGATATAGCTGAGGGAAGAGATTCCACAGTTAAAAGGGGGATTTCGTCAAAGTCTACATAATAATGAGTGATGGGTCCTTTTCCTCTTCTTTCACTGGGCTCCCCACATTGGAAGCTGTTAGTGTTTGCTTCTTAAATGTCTCCCAGTGGTCCATATGCTAAAGGCTTGGTTTCCAAACTGCAGCCCTGTTGGGAGGTGGCAGAAACATTTAGGAGATGGGGTCTAGTAGAAGGAAGTTACGTCATTGAAGAACATGCCCTTGAAGGGGATACTGAGATCTGCTTTCTTTTTCTCTGTTTTTGCTTCCTGGTCACCATAAGGTGAGCAGCTTTTCCGAATCAAGTGCTTCACACTGTAATGTCCGATTTCACCACAGACCACAAAACAACAGAACTTAGCCCACCAAGGACTGAAATCTCTGACGCTATGAGGCAAAATAAACTTTTCCTCCTTTTAAGTTGATTTTGTCACAGTGACACAAATCTGACTAACATAGCAGCCAAGATTATACAAAGCTCCCATCCCTTCTTCCTTCTCATACACACAATTTATCCCTAGGAGAAGTGACCACCCTAAAGACTGATGGGAAGTAACAGGTAGTAGGACTCAGGGTTTCTGCTAATTCTGTTCACAATAAAGCCTATCAGCTGACAAATCCTGCTAACATATACTGACAGTTTTCAGTAGCTTTTACTATTTTCCTTGTAAATATAAAGGGATCACCAGACATTTGTAGAAAAACAAAACTTGAATAAAAATAGAAACACTGTACTAGAAACAGAAGAAATTTCAAACACTAAGTACCTTCAGCACTAAGAAAAATGTTGTATATATAAAACAAGAATGGATTCTAATTTTTTAAAAAAGGGACATTCAGAGAATAAGGTGTTCTGGGAAGTTAAAAATTATAGCAGCAATAAAATTCAACAGAAGCATTAAAAAATAAAATTCAGGAAATCTCTCAGAAATTAGAGGAAAAAAAGACAGATATGAAAGGAGAGGACAATAAGAAAATAAGGAATGATTTCAAGAGTTTCAACATTTGAGTAAGACAGTTTCAGGGAGGGCACAACATAAAAAGTGAGACTGGAGAATTGACAAAGAAAGCTTACCTAAATTGAAGAATGTTTTCTAAATTAAAAGAGTCCACTGATAACTCAGAATAATGAGTTTTAAAAAAGGCCTCTCTGATGCACTGCAGTATTAATTTTTAGAAGAATTTAGAAAAAGCCAAGGTTCTCCTAATTTTATAGAGAATAGGTTGCAAATCAGGAAGCAAATTGCATAAGATTTTTAATGGTAACAGGAGAAAAGATGATGGAACACAACTTTAATCCCTTTTAAGGAAAAATAATTACCAACTCAGAATTCTATAAAGAATTAAACTATAAATGTAAAGATTAGCTAAGGATATTTTTCAGAATATGACAGTTCAAAAAATTATTGTCTCTGTACTCTTTCATTAAGCTATTAAAGGACATGTTTCATTAAGATGGAGTATAAACCAAAAAAAGGATAACAAGTTGGACTACAGCAGAATTTAATGGAGGGGAAGGGGAAGGGGAAGAAAAAAGGGAAGAGCCAGGGATTTGGCTCAGTGGCACCGCACCTGCCTTGCAAGCACCAGATCCTGAGTTCATTCCCAGGTAACACTCCCCCAAACAAACAAACAAACAAAGGGGAAGTGAAAGAAAGAGAAAGAAAAAGAAAAAAAAAAGGAAAAGAGCCAGGTATGGTGACATGTGGCATACGCCTGTAATCATAGCACTCTGGGAGGCTGAGGCAGGTGGTTCACAAGTTTAAGGCAAGCCTTGACAACTTAGTAAGACCTTGTCTCAAAGTAAAAAATAAGAAAAGGGGGGTGGGGTGGGTTTGTAGCTCAGTGTGAAGGCCCTGGGTTCAATCTCTAATACTAGAAAAAGAAGAAAGGAAGGGAGGGAGGAAGGCATAAAAGGAGGAAAGAAGATAAGATATAAAAAAATGAAGTATGATAAGAGTAAGTGATGCACCGAATTTAAGAGAATTATACTTTCTTGATGGATTTAGAAATGATTAGACATAAAAATGTAAGTTTAAAAGGCCCCACATTTTGGTCTGTTTTGTGTAGTACTATTTCCCCAAAGTCTAGATGCCTGGCAAATAGTGGCAAACTCTACAAATACTTGAGTGAATGAATAGATGAGTACATAGGAATTAAATAAGGCTTTAAGTTGACAAACACTGTATATGTTTATGATATATAGTATGTTTTGATATATGTATGTATTGTGAAATTATCAAATCAAACTAATTAACATATCCATCACCTTATATACTTATTTAAAAGTGACATACTCTCTTAGAAATTTTTAAGAATATTACATTATTATTAACTATAGTTACCATGTTGTACAGTAGATCTCATAACTCAGGGGGACAGGCAGGAGAGTAAAGAAAAAAGGGAGGTTACAGAAGGAGGGAAGAAACAGAGAGCAAATACTTATCACTGAGAGCTAAATCATCTTTCCCAGCAGAAAGTCAATTACTTAATGACCATGTAAGTCAGCTATTCAGAAATATGCATACAAATGCTAGAAGGAACAGATAAAAGAAATAACATCTAAAATAGCCAAAACCACTTGGAGGACAGTCATCAGCAAGTTTCATGCGCTCCCTCCTACATCAGAAACATCAATGTGAAGAAGTATCCAGGTATGAAATACCTTCATAAGACCTAATGCAACCAAGCAAGAGATTATAGCACCTGGTTGTAGCAGAGAAATAAGCAAAGACACACTGAAGAGGGTAAGTAGGATGGTTTTACATTACCAGTATCACTCCTACTCTAATTCAAAGCAGAATAGTGGAGAGATACCTTCTCTGTGGAGGAAAAAGGAGGATTCAAGCATCGAACTTTGCCCCAGGCTCTCATAAAACCTGGAGTCAGGACACCTTCATCACCTCTTCTAGGCAGATACCCTCAATATGAACTTCCCAGCTCTACCTGGAGTCAGATGGGGTCTCTCTTGCTCAGGTTCAGGCCTGCCTTCTCTATGCCTTCCTCACCACCAGCCCACATCAGTGGCCCCATGGTCTCTACTCCAGTACCAGACTGGCCCCAGAAGCCCAGACACAAGTGCCAGGCCAGTCCCCAATGACTCAGTTTCCAGATATACCCCTACAGGCTCCGGCTCTCAATCATACCTAGCATGAGGCTGGCCCTTGTACCTCTTGTCATTAGGCTGGAACCTGCAGAGATATTCTCTATGCCTGCCCAGTACCAGGACAGCTCCTGCAGCTGTTAGGTTCCAGGCCTGCCCTACATTTCAAGTAGGCCCAGAACCAGGTCAGTCTGAATGCCTGAAGCTTTCTGTACATTCCAGACAATGTTGGCAGCCCTAACCTCAGGCACTAGGCCTGTTCAGTGTCTAGCTAGTCCCAAAGACCCTGCCCTGCATGCATGCTGGCCCCTGTGGCTTTGAGCTTGAGTTCCATCAAGTTAACTGTCTGCTAGCACAATAAGGTCAACACTGTTTATGGGAATATAACTGAATTTCAGAGTCATTTAAAATGACCATGATAAATCCAAAATTTCTGAACATATAAACAGGAAAAACAACCAACATACAAGAGCAAAGTTAATTAAAGAACACAAGCCTCAACATGATCTAAGCATTAGAATAAAGAGACAATTACTTTAAAGAAGTTATAATAAATATACTCAATAATATACTGGCAGTTTTAGGAACCTATAAGGTAGTATCTACAAGTTGAATATACATGTAATTGGAATAGTAAAAGAAGGGGAGAAAGAGAACAGACAAAAAAGTGAAAAATAATGGCCAAAAATTTCTAAAAGTTCATAAAAAGAGAATACTTAAACATAATATTAAGAGTATGAAATTTTTTATAGAAAACAACTAGTCATTTGTAAATTGAGAATCTTAAATAGATTAATATATACTTCATACACTTTGGTGATTCCATTTATAGTAATATATACCAAGGAAATAAGTAAATTAAAAAATTTATTTAGAGAAATTTCCTTCAATGTACAATTTATAATACAAAAATCCTGTATTATCCAATAACAGTCTAATAGATAAATATTGGTGCATAGTTGTCACACAAAAAGTATTTGTTGAATGAAGGAACTAACAGATTTTTTGGGTTTTTTGGGGGTTTTTTTTGGTACCGGGGATCGAACTCAGGTCCTTGCGCTTGAGCAGCAGGCGGCGGAACCACTGAGCTAAATCCCCGGCCCAAGAATTAATAGATTTTTTAATGAAGTATTTAATGAGAAATCTGATCGAAGAAAGTAACAAATAAAATTCTCTTAAGCATAATCCCTATAGAATTTAGAATATAATATATAAAGAAAAATGCAAAAACACTGTTCACATAATTATCTCTGAGAGTTAGGATTATGAATGATTTTTTTCCTTTAGACTTTTCAATATTTTTCAGAAATTTATGACAATTTATTCATATGGTGAGAAAACAGCAATAATGAATATAGAGCTACGAATGTATACCAAATACATTGTGAATATCTATGTCATTAATATTCTTGTCTTCAGCCAGCCATTAAATTTACCTTAGTCCACAGTCATTCCCATTTATATTTAAACTGAGCTCTTGGGGTTTAACAAGCTCTCTGTCAGCAACCAGTTCCTTCGACTTAAACATAGCTTGAGTTCTTAAGCCTGTAAAAATAAATTTAGAGAATTTCTAATCCTAAGAAGCCTGATAAACTGAACAGTAATTCTTGGCTCATGATCATCCAGATAAGACACCCAGCAATTATTTTCAAATTAAAACTCAATCTGTTAAAAATGAATGGGTAGGCTGGGGGTGTGGCTCAGTGGTAGAGTATGTACTTAGCATGTATGAAGCCCTGGGCTCAATTCTCCAGCATCAAAAATATAATTCAAAAAAAGGTGAAATCCCAAATACACATAAATATAGTATACAAATTGACTTAAAGGACTTTAAAAGTTCTTTAAGGAGAGTGGGGGAAGAATGAGTTGGTTAGAATATAACTTAAAAACTCAAAATAATCGATGCTTTAGGAATACCATAAGTCTTTTCTTTAGAAATTTAAGTCTTCCCTCTAATCATTGCTAAGCAAGCATATTTTGGTCATCAGGCTCTAAATGGGAATTCTAGTAACTCTTCAGTATCACTGACTCTGTCCAACATATACTACATGGGAAGTTCCCACTTCTCATATTGACATTTCAAAGAGGTATGGCTGAAACTCACTGACAAGCATATATTCTCTGGGACACATAAAAAAAGAACGGAAAGACATTCTCCCTATCAATGTTAATTTAGACCCACACTTATGTGTATGGAGAAGAGAAGACTATTGAAGAAACCAGCAAAATGTCTTTTTCCAAGAGTTTGTGTCAATTCTTGGTGTAAAATATGTGACACCCACTACCCATTCCTGTTTTTAAAAAATATTCCCCAGTTATCTGTACAAGTATACTCTTTATAAAATCAAACCATGAAGAAGAAAATCACTGATAAGACAGCCTTGTCATTTTCATCAATAGCAAAAAGACATTCTTCTAATTGTAACTGATTATGCACAGTGATAATACAGAGATGTACAGGATATGATCAAAATATATGGCGAATATTTAAATTTTAACAATTTACAGTAAAAGATGCATTGTCATTAATTCCCCTCAAAACGTTCCTCCCTTACTTCAAACACATTGATTCCACTGAGTGTCCCATTGGGTGGCTTGTACCACTGGTGGCAGAAATAGAACAGTCATGCACAGAACAGTCATGCATGTGTCACTGGTGATTCAAGACACAGGAATTATGGCTCCATCACGAATGTGATAACTCTTCTGGGAAGATAACTCAGAAGACGTGTAGCTGAGTCAAATGGAATTCCTACTTTTAGTTTTTGTGAAATCTCCATATGGTTGTACTAGTCTACATTCCCATCAGCGATGGAAGAGGGTTCCTTTTCCCTTATAGTTCTACCAGAATTTGTTTTTTGAGTCCTTGATGATAGCCATTGTTACAGAAATACAAACTAAGGACTTTGTGCTTGCCAGGCAGGCACAGTACCACTGAGCTACATCTCCGGCCCCTTGTTTCTGCATCTTCTAATTTGTTCCACTGATCCTTGGGTCTGGTTTTTTTGCCAGTACCATGCTGTTTTGGTTTTTTTTAAAATCACAATAGCTTTGTATTATAATATCAAGTCAGAGATTGTGATGCCCCCTGCCTTGCCTTTGTTGCTCAGAATTGCCTTTGCTATTCTAGGTCTCTTCTGGTTCCAAATGAATTTTAGGATTGTTTTCTCTAATTCCGTGAGATATGCTATTGGTATTTTGATTGGGATGGCATTAAATCTATATAACAATGGGCATTTTCACTATATTGGTTCGCCCAAGAACAAGGGATGTCTTTCCATTTTCCGATATCTTCTTTGATCTCCTTTTCCAGAGTACTGTAGTTTTTCACTGTGAAAGTCTTTTACTGATATATAGTAATTTGGAATTAGCTTAACAAATATTTTACTCTTTCAGTAACCCAAGAACACAAAGGATTAGTAATGGTAAAGAAAGGGCTGGGAGATAGAAATAAAAGGAAAAAATAATTTAAAAAATGAAGAAAAATTGAGGAAAACAGGAGCACAAAAAGAAACAAAAGCAGACAAAAGAAAGTAGTTTTTGATGGTACTGTTTTTACACCCATAAAAAAGAAGACAGAGAGGGGGTTTGACAGGATATATGCTGGGGCAAAGAGACAGGAATAAAGGGAAGGATTTATAAGTAGAAAGTAAGACAATCTTTTTGTGTCTAGTTTATAAGCTACCAGAAGTCCTGTGTTAAAAGTTGTAAGCAACAACCTTTGGTGAAGGAGAACCTGACAGGTCAATGTAAAACACTGCAGAAACAAAAGGGGTAGTTAGCACTCATACATAGTTGTTCATAAATATATCCCCCTCACAATACTCTAAAATAGAAAAAAATTTATAATAGTCTTTATGTTCAAGAAAAGAAGGGGGTCAAGTGAGAAAACAGATGAGGATGTGAGAGGCAAGTGAAGGAAGACGATGGGGGAGGAACTTTAAATGGACAGTGTTATCAAACAACCTTGGGAGAGGGGGAACTTACGGGACAGGTTAATATATGTGGTAGATTATTCATAACAGTTTATGCATAAGAGAAGAATAAAGAGAAAAATGAAAAAAATGAAGAAATTTAAAAACATAAAGGAAAGAAGCTTAGAGATAGAAAATAAATGGGGGAACGAAGGCAAAGGGAAAGATGAAATTATAAACGGGATGTGAGAGGAGAGATATAAGGCAGTTGTTTCCAACTGCTGAACAGTCAAGGAATGTTAGATAACATTCAGAAAGAACATCTGAAGTGAGCAGGCAACAGTTCTACTGTTCTATAGGCAACAGTAGAAAATTTACACACATAGCTATAATCCTACATACATACATAAAAAGGCCTGCCACTCAAAAAAATCAAATGAGAGAAGACAGACAGACACACACACACACACACACACACACGCACACAAACACACCCCAAAACACCATACAAAGGATACAGTGGTCAAGAGCCTCTGGCGAGCTCAGAATGCTGGTGGATTGCCAGTGCTTCTCTCACTTACATGTAACAATCTCAGGTTCCCAGTTCAGATTCTGCTGCAGCTTCTGCTATTTGCACTGCCTAGTTCACCATTCTTAGCTTCCTATAGTCTCCTCTGTTTACAGTTATGGTCCAATTCTGTGCAGCCTTTCTCTGATCAGCAACTTCAGTAGACCCTTGCAATTAGACAGGGGAAGTATCTTCATACCTGTGCACTGTTGCAATTGCTCCTCTCTGTCCCCTCTATTCCCCAGTCAAAGCAATACTCCTGCTTGTAAGGTTTCAATCTGACCTGGGATTTTAGTGCTTTCTGGGGGCCTGCAGGAAATAGCTTCCACAGGCATTCATCTGGATTGTCTTCTCCATCCACAAGGCTCATGCATCCCAGTTGTTCATCTTCACAGAGATTCTCTTTCCAGCCTTAGAATCTGATTATGTTTAGGGCTCCGGGGAAGAGAGCCTTCCGTGTGGAATTCTGTAGTGTTTGGGGGGCAGTTGTCAGGAGCTCACATAGGCACGGAGCTCAGCAGTGTTTGGGGCTGGGGGAGAGTGCCTGCTCTGGCACTTGTGGGATCTGGGGTGAAGAAAAGACACTGGAGCACTGCCAGAGCAGGCACTCTCCCCACAACCCCAAACACTGCTGAGCTCTGTGCCCATGTGGTGGGCTCCTGACCAACTAAAGACATTCAAGAAAGACTATTTTCAGAACTTCTTCAGAAAGTGGTAAGAATTATGGGATAATATGTTCAAAGTGAGGGGAAGTATTTTGAGAGGTATTAATGGCAATGTATCATTTATTATAATCAATTTTTTAAAATTATATATTCATAGTAATTTCTGACCATACCTCATATATAAATTACCCTTAGGAACATACAGTTTAAGACTAATATTTGGTAGCAGGTAATGCAGTTGTAAAATGTTAAAACCAAGTAATTATGAGAATAGACCAAACAAATAATAGCAATAGTAGCAGTCAGAGCAGGCCCTGCAGCAGCAGTAAAAATGACATTGGTGATAGCAGATATCATTTAAAGAATACATTTTGGATACTACTGCATTCGTCTTCACAATCATTCTATGACATAATTTAATTACTTTTACTATTTACATTTACAAAGGAATAAAGTAAGATATAGGCATATAACTTCCCTAAGATGACACACTTTTTAAGTGGTAAAGGCAGTATTTTTTATAATAGTTAAGCATAGACTACATGTACTAAACCATATTATAAAAGTAGGAGACAAAGGTAAATATTTATGATTAGTCTTGTTTTTTATTCATTACCAAATACGATTTCATTCTAAAAAGGATTGAAGGTGGTTTTTGGCACTATTATAAATCGTATTCTGGATAAAAACCTCTGATTAATCCAGAAAGGGATCACAAAAATATTACCCTTTTGAAAGCTCTTATTGACCATCATGTAATATTCAAGGTGGTAGAATGAATTATTAATAATAACTTAAATAAATGTTAATGTCATGCCAAATTTATTCCAATATGATAGGTCTATTCCCAAATTTTGAACAAGTTATGTTACTCATTTCTCTTTTTTGTTCGATTTTTTTTTTTTTTTTTTGGTACCAGGGATCAAACTCGGGTCCTTGTGCTTTCCAATATTTCTCCTGAACATCTGAATACCATAAACAATGTCTTATGCACAGCAAATATTACTTTATTAATTTAAATGAAGTGAGTTTTCAAAGACACTTAAATTACAAATTCAGTTATAAGTTCAAATTATGTATAAATTAGAGAGTGAGATTATATAATATACTGAGAGATAAGATCTGGTTTGGTTATTTTGGTGCTCTTATATAGTTTCGTGCAATGTAGGGGACTTAGCAAATGTCTGCTAAAAAAAGACTCAAACTGAATTACTGACCTACATTACATATCAAATAATAAAGTACTAGTTTTGAGTATGTTCACTAACTTAGAGGTAGTTTAGTGAGAAAGAAAGCAGGTCGAAAAATTTAAATTGTGGGATTTTTAACTGTGCTGCTGTAAACAGATAGAATGTAGATAAAAGGAAAATTGAGCTGATATTTAGACCAGAGGAAA